ATCTTGTGCCTATGGATGCTCAGTGATGATGGAAAACAACCGAGAAAGGAGAATAGCTCTTGTCGCTGCTGGTGCAGCTGCTGGAATTGCTTCAGGTATGTTGCTTCTCATTGAGAATTATCTGTACCTGACAACATTTGTTGCTTGATCTCAAAGTCGTTACACATGATTGTTGCATAGTTTTCATGTTTGGAAGTTTTTGTGGATGATCATTTCTTGCTTAATTTAGAGCCTTAATGAATAGATGAGTATTGCAAAATTATCATGTTTGGAAGGTTTTCTAGTCTGCGTATAAAATTTATGGATTATGATTTGTCTCAAATGTTCAAGGGACATTAAGAGGATCAGAAAAAAAATGTTTTATGCTGTCCATCTTATTCTTCGTTCTTAAAAGAGTTTTTTTCCTCGGTTTCCTCCTAAAAATGAAGCAGTTTAAAACAGGGATTTTGTGATCAAAATGCGCTTGCCTATTATGTTTTTGTATATCTCATCCACATGCGTACATGTGTGTATTTATCTTCAAAAGTGCACTTGTGAGTGTGTGCTTCATCATGGAGGGGAGTTTACGTTACAAGGTTTAAGGTCAGCCTTAACTTTTTGCTTTTGAATTTTGTCCAGATTGAATGAAAGATCTGTCTCTCTGCATCTTTTACAGGAGCCTTCATCAACTGTTGGATGAATATTCAAGATTTAACTCTTTTGTGTTGCAGGTTTCAATGCAGCAGTGGCTGGCTGTTTCTTTGCAATTGAAACAGTTTTAAGACCACTTCGTGCAGAAAACTCACCTCCATTTACAACTGCAATGATCATATTGGCTTCTGTCATATCGTCTACTGTTTCAAATGCTGTACTTGGAGAGAAACAGGCTTTCACTGTGCCCACGTATGATATGAAATCTGCTGCTGGTATTTGATCTGATTCTAGTTTAATTTATTGTGGGCAAAACATTAGCTCATGCTGCTTACACACTGCTCATTTTCTCTTTGTTACCTGTGCAACTCTACAATTACCAATGTTGCTATGCATATGGACTCTTTTCGCAATTGATTTACTGCTCTTTCCTAATTCAGTTCATTATTTACTCCGTTGAATGGAAATATTTGTAATTAGTGAATCTTGACATGCGATATGTGGTTCCAGGTCCTTTTCCTGCTCTCTGCTCGTTTAGTGCCGTTTCTCCTATGATAATTTCTCTGTTTTTTGTCTGTTCATACTTACAGGTTGTCGCTCATATGCTAGCTTTTACTAACGAAGGTAGTGACAAACATGTTTTGCTGAGTATTCTCTGATTTCTCATTTTTTTAACAATTAGAATTGGTACATATTCCTGTACTGTTGCTGCCAAGCATGGATTATGTAGCTCTTAGTAACACCTCTATGTGATTCACGATTGTTTTGATTTAGCATACATGTTTTCTCGAGAATGATCAGAAAGATGCTGCTCAGAAATGAATTTTTTTTCCTGAACTTCGTTTCTCAGACGTTCTATAATGGTAAAGATGTCTGCTGATTCTTTTTGTGAGATGAATTTGGAAAAAGAGAATGAATAAAGGGATAGCTGTCTTAGATAATTTTTACTTTGTTTTGGGATGTCCAAAGGGGGGGAGAGGGCTTTTATTATATGGACGGAATGTTTCTTGATGCTTTCATAGATTAAACTCAGTTTTGATTGTCGCTTTATTCAACAAAGTTTCCTTCCTGAATATTAAACCGGCTTCCTTAACAGAGCTACCTTTATATCTAATACTGGGGATGCTGTGTGGAGCAGTAAGTGTGGTTTTCACTCGATTAGTCGCCTGGTTCTCTAAAGCATTTCAGTTCCTCAAGGAAAAGTTTGGACTTTCTGATGTTGTCTGCCCTGCTTTGGGTGGTTTGGGAGCTGGAATAATAGCTCTTAGATATCCTGGAATTCTCTATTGGGGTTTTACTAATGTTGATGAAATTCTTCATACTGGTAAGACTGCATCTGCACCTGGAATCTGGTTGCTAGCTCAACTAGCAGCTGCAAAAGTTGTGGCCACTGCATTATGCAAAGGTTCTGGTCTTGTTGGTGGTCTGTATGCACCAAGTTTAATGATAGGTGCTGCTGTGGGTGCTGTATTTGGAGGTTCAGCTGGGGAACTAATCAATTCAGCTATACCAGGGACTACTGCTATTGCTCAGCCGCAGGCGTACGCCTTGGTCAGATCGTCTACTTTTACATCTTACAAGTAAATATTTTCTAGACATGATTGGACTTCAGAAAGTAACTCTTTCTATTGCATAATTTAAAAAATGCAGGTGGGAATGGCTGCTACATTGGCGTCAGTTTGTTCAGTGCCTTTGACTTCAGTCCTGCTTTTGTTTGAGTTGACAAAAGATTATAGAATATTGCTTCCCCTCATGGTTAGTCTTACTGCCCAAGGATTCACAAGCTGTAGTTGGTATCAACGTGCGTGTAAAAATTACATTGTTCAGTTAATTATTAGAAAACCTTTGTATATGGTAATTGTGTAGCTTCTGCTTAATTGAAGCATTCTCTGTGACGGATGTTTGTCAGTCTAGGTACTTAGCCCGAAAAAAGGATTTTAACAAAAAAGGAAGAAAAGAAGGTCACCGTAAATTCATAATTCAATAGGAGATGAAGCTTCATTTATTTTGGGGGTGAGAAGTGAGAATTGATGGAATGCGTGAAGACAATTGGCTAAGGCAGAAAAGCTTTTATAGGCATACTTTACAACTACCATTCTGCACTTATTCAATGTGGAATTTATTACATACTACATAGACTATTACATATATACTCATCTAATTTGTAAATAGGTAAATTATCTTCAAGTGCCCTAATTTTAGTGAAAGTTTAATTGTCCTTTTATTCTAAATAAAAACTTAGTGCTAAACCACTTATGTTCAGTTGACCTTTCATCACCTGCAAATGTTGTCACTGCCAATCATGTTAATACCATTTGTGTAAAATTTGTTGGAGTAACTTATCCAACAAAGAAAGTTTTTTGGAATTTATCAAAAACCATTGTCAGATTATAAATAATTGTCTAACGAAATTCTCAAGTGGTATTTTTAGTTTCATTTTAAGAGCTCTTTTTAGGCATTAGACATAATAGTAAGTAGCATACCAAATAACAGTATATATTTATCATGTCCCTTGGATTCTAATTTTAGGTGACTATGAATCCGACGCTTAGATCCATATCTGTGTTAGATACTTTACACTTTAGTCCATGTAACAGGTGGAGAAAGATGATTAGAAGGTAGAGCTCTTCTTCACTTTTGTCATCCCTTTTTTTGGGTGGGTGGGGGGAGATAAGTATCACTTATTGCATCTAAGTTGCTCGGTTTTATCTCTAACTGGAGCTGTTGTCTTTAAATTGTAGTGACTATACCAGACTATCTAGTCGGCTAGTCAAGTGGACTTTAGTGATCTTTTTTTGATCTGGCAATATTTTGTTATTCCTATGTTATTTTGGGTGAAGTTTTAGTGCTTGTTGAAATGATGACTGGGATTAACATGCGTTTTAAATTATGTGAACAGGGTGCTGTTGGACTGGCAATTTGGGTGCCTTCTGTAACAATCCAGGCAAAGGAAGTGGAGGCATCAGATTCCAAGTATGTATCAAAAGGATACTCTGTCCTTTCACCAGATGATGAGAAGAATGAACGGAATGTTTGGAGGCACACAGGTGAGAGGAATGACTTGGAACTAGCTGTAATTGGATGTCGAAGCAGTCATGAATCTCTTGATGAAGGCCTAATTCTGGAAGATCTAAAGGTATGATCTTTTCATTCTGCCTCTGGAATGTAGCAAGGTTTACCTATCATGAGTTTTTACTTTTTTTTTTCTTTCTATTGGACTATCGTTTCATGTTGGTCCTTCTGTTTCGATTTCTAAACCGTTTCCCTCGATGACCAGGTTTCTCAGGTTATGTCAAATGATTATTTGAGGGTCGCTCCAAACCAAACTGTGAAAGAAGCATTAGAATTCATGCATGATAGTCGACAGAATTTTGTTATTGTGGTTAATGCTGAAGATTATCTGGAAGGAATTTTAACATATGGTGACATCAAACGTAGTTTGTTTAACAACTCAGGGGATTCTTCCGACAGGGATTTGGCACTTAAAGATTACGTATATATACTAAATGCCACCATAAATAAGTTTATTTTGGTTCTCAGTATGCAAGTTCCTTTTTCAATTAATTCTCTTTTTCTCCTCTTTCATTATGCAATCGTTGCTCCTTGGTTTCTCTCTTTAATAGCTTTATTGGTTTCTTTAACCTGTCTACAGGCAAATACTTGTCTTGTTTCCTCTATATGCACAAGAGGGATAAACTATCGTGGGCGAGAATGTGGACTTATAACTTGTTATCCTGACACCGACCTAGCAATTGCAAAGCAGCTAATTGAGGCCAAAGGAATCAAACAGTTGCCCGTGATCAAGCGTGGTGGAGACTTGAATCGAGAAAGAAAGCGCAAAATTGTTGCTATTCTGCGTTATAAGTCAATCGAAGAGTCTATCAGGTTTTGTTTCTTCTATCCATAGTTTACCTGACGTGTCTTATACGTGTTCCCTTTCGCTGTAATCCAGCATTTAAAATATTTGTTTGGTTCTATGTGGTATTGATTCAAGGTAAAACTGTTCTTTTGATGGGACTTTTTCTTTCCTTTTTTTAAAATATTATGCAGCAGCTTTCTCCCGAGGTTTGTAAAAATGGAAAAATGTCAAATACAATGACTTGTGTTTTTGGAAGTCCACCAGGAATTTGATGTTACATTGGGACATAAACTGGGGCTTGCCATATATAGAAAAGAGACAGAAGATGTGAACTAAGTGATGGGTTCTTTCAATATTTGCTTAATTATGGCTTAAAACTTAAAAGCATAGCATGAATTACAATATGTCTAGTACAACTTTGAAACATTATGGGGCTAGGGCTCAAAGGCGGATCCAGAATTTTAGGAGACCTATTGTGAAGAGGTGGATCTAGAATTTACATTTGACAGGTTTAACTTTAGTTTCTTATCTTGAACGCACTACATTTTTAAAATTTTAGGTTCAAAATTATATTATTTTTGAAATTTTAGTAATTTTCATATATATATATCAATACTCCGTGCCGAATACAAGACCGTCAGGAGTGAGATTTGAACCGCTAATTTCACTTGTAGAGATGCACCAAATAATTATTGCACCATAAGAGTCTTTGAGAATGGGTGCACACATATATTTAAGTAATTTTAAAAAAATATAATATTATTATACATGGGTTTAGGGAGAGGAGCATGGGTTCACATGAACCCACGCCCCTTAAGCTAGATGCACCCCTGCTAGGGCTCTGGAGGCTAAACAGCTATTTTTATGGTATTATACCAGCTGTTGTGCAATGATGTATGCTTTCTTTCTTAACTACACACTTCTTGCATGTTTTGATTTTGGATGAACTTGCTGGTTTTGCTTTGGAAGAAGAAAAGTTGGTAGCAAGCATCGTAGCATTATTTAGGTTGTTGATGAACTTCCTATGACCTCTGCTCTTGTTGTCTATGTTCAAATCTAGGATGCATCTACCTTTCCTCCTCCTATATGTCTATCTTGCAATAATTGACTGAGAGAAGAGAAGATATACAACCCATTAAATAACTATAAAGAGCAACATCAAGTAGCAACTAAAAGTGTGAATCTCCATTTGTTTAGAAGTAATTCATTTGTTGTTAGGGCATTTTCTGAACATTATAACTCCCACAGAAATGAAGCGAGTCGACGAAAATCAGTCTACCAGCAAAGAAAAGAAGACAATGACAAACAGATGGTAAAAAATGGTCATTAATTGCACGACGGGGCCGAGCATGAAAAGCAAGTTTCAACAATTAATTATTGTTTTTTGATGATTTGGGCATCAGCTGGTAATATGCAACTTGACTGCACAGTTGTTCCTGCTCATAATTTTGGTTGCATGCAGAAGTTTGAGTTCCCTTTAAGCTTTGTGGTCTTCCCTTTTCTGGACAGCCTCTAAGGTTGCCTAATGTCTTCAGATTTCATATCAATACTTGTTTTAATCAAAATTCTATATTAGTTGGGTTTGATTTATACCGAGTAGTTGTCGGTAGGTATACCTGTGTAATCTGATATCTCACATTTTGTACAAAAAGTTTGCTTTACTGTTTTAGATGCAAGTCTAAGGCAAACAATATTCGATATAGACAGATTTTAAAGCAGAAATATTCAGTATTAATGAAAACACTCTCAATATTTTACTCTGAACTGCTTGGACTGTTTCTCCTCTCATTCTATTCCCAGCATATTGAGTTAACTTTAATTTTTATTTCTTGCTTAAACTCTTATCGAAAAGCCCGATCGCAGCAATTTTGATATGCTCGCAAGGCTTTGGTCTAGTGGTAAGAGTGTAGCACATAATGCTTTGGTCTCGTGGTTAGAGTGTAGCACATAATGCACACGCCAAGAGTTCGAAGCTCGGAAGTCTGCACCGTTATTTGTCAAGTTTCGATCTTGCGCCATTGTTCCTCGAGAGTATTTTGGTTATAGAATAGAAAAACATTTTCACATTTAACACAAAGGAAAGATGCAGGTTAGTAATTTCTTATAATAGAAAAAGTTAGAAAAGAAAAGAATGCGCCAACCCATGATTGACCATCTCGATTAAATAATCTCCAGTATCACAGTCTATAGCTGCTGGTTAGTGCCAGATTTTCATAAAATCAGCGATTGAAAAGTGAAATCCTAAAAATGGCTATGGTAGGAATTAAGCAGCGGCTTAGTTTTTTATTTTGACGTGGAACATAAATTAAAAAGTAAAATTGTAATAAATGGGAGGTATGAATTCATACTTTTAAAGATGTAATAAATTTAATGTTAAGAATCTTAAAGGTTAAACTACTTTCTTCATTCACTTTTAGTTGTCTATTCTTTATTTTGCTGCCCGCCTCCCCTCCCGCTTTAAGAAAAAATAAATGAAGCATGTATTTTATAATTTTAAATATAATAATGATAGTATTTCAAAAAAAATTAAAAAATAATTTAGGGAACAAGTAGTTCATGATAAGAGTAAAATATTAAAAAAGATTGTCTTTCTCTTGATTTGCTAAAATTGACAAGTAAAAATAAAATGTATTTTTAACGAAGTGGACAAGTAAAAATAAAAGGAGTGAGTAATAGGATTTAAATTCGGAATCAGCTTATGTCCATTGCAACTACACCATCTCACCCCTGACACCTATAGAATTTGTCTAGATTATATAAATGTTTTTAAGATAAAATTTTGTATTTACTCCCTCCGTCTCATATTAATAGACATGGTTACTAAAAATAATTGTTTCAAATTATTTGTTATTTTAGAAGTTCAAGATAAAATTGATTGTTTTTTTCTTTTTTTACTCTTAGTAATTATTATTCTTGAAGATAGAGATAACACATAAATAGAATAAATATTCAATGAAAAAAGATTATATCTTAAGACATAAATAATGATAGAATAGTCTAATCTCTTTCCTAATTAATATCTTTTAAGGGACATATAAAAGAGAAACACGACACACTCCAATAAATACACTCTTTTTTCAGGAAAAAGCATTTTTTTGGAACCAAACACAACCTTAATGTCCAACGAAAGCTGGGCCACTAATATTCGTTGCTATACTGGCCTCTTATTTTATTTCTTTTTTCTTTCCACTCTCTCTGGCTGCGGTTCTAAAATTCTTGATCTTAAATAAATAAACCCAAATATCCGCTAACTCTATCGTTTAAATTAAAAATAGCCGGTGAATATATAATATATATATATATATATATATATATAATTATGTATAATCAATATATAATTTATATATATGATTAGAAAAAGTAGGCTACGTAAAAACCGCATAAATAAAAGCAACTTGTAATTAAAAAAAATATCCATAGATTCAACTACTTGAGCAACCCATGAAAATTTTGATGGCACAACGACCTAGAAGATGAGATGCCGTCATCCTATGAACGGTCTGACATAAACAATGCCAACAATAATTCATTAATTATAATGATCGGATCAGTTTGTGCTTAATTTAATTAACTTTACGAGTTTCGAGTGTATATATATAGATTAGATCGCCTTCGAAATTTGCAATACGCCACAATCCAGCAGAAGCTCCATTTTAGGAATTCGATAAAGCTCATATACAAAGTACTACTACTCGTACTGATCAAAGGTAAATTTTTTCTTTTTTCTTCGTTTCTTTAAAGGGTATGCATAGATATAATCATCTTTAATTGTTTAATTAAATCTCGTTGCTGTGGATTTGGATTAAACAAACTCAACTTGAGTAGAGGTTGGAATCTGAAATAGTAGCGGTGGCTGACTGATTAATTACTTACTACTACTATGTGTGTAATTGTTGAATTAACAAACAACAAGTTCCACCTCACACTCTCAATTGTTTAATAAAGGAAAAATTCCAATCTTCTTTGATGCTTGTGGTGGGATTTGAGCCTGCATTCTGAGTTGTTACTATTAGGCTACAACTCCAATTTGTCTGTCTTTGAAATGAGTTACATAGAGTAGCATTTTAGAACTGTAATTGTTATTCTTATGTGTGTGTTGCTTAGGGGCGCAACTACAATATTAGGTATGGGTTCGGACGGAGCTAGTAGTTTTTGCTTAGATCATGTATTAGAGTATTAGGAAATCCGTTAAATATGTGTAACATTTAATACTTAACCCAGTAACTAAAACGAGTTATGGGTTCTGTGCCAAGTTCAAAACCCATAAACTTCAAAACCTGGCTCCGCCTTGCTTATGGAGAAAAGAATAGTGCTCCCTCCGGTCCCAAATAAGTGTCTTTTAAGGCTTTATTTTGGACTCAAAGTAGTAGCATTTAAACTCAGTTGCGCGCTGGATTAGTATGCGGGTGTGGAAGACCCAAAAGATGCTCACTTTTACAGACAAATGCTGATTCTGCTAGCTTAATGGAATGTCACTTTGATGGGGTTCTCTTGTATAGAAAACCAGCACCATAATCTAAAGGATGGAGAAGGATACAGTATTGTAGCATTTCTTTCTTGGTGTGCTTATATTGCTAGTATCTTAGTAAGATATTACCCTGATTTGGTCTCCTCACAAATCTATATTTTGCATAATGCCATTAGAAAGTATATTTCTTGATGGTATTCCACATTTAGAATCTTGCGTTATAGATTTTATCAACGATTTCCTTACAGCCAAGTGTCCTGCTATAAGTTTTATTGGCATGTAGAGGTCTTGTTCGTAAGAAGTTTTATATCAATGTTGATCTAGGTTTGTTTCACATCGTCCTGAATAAGTGCCATGCAATTTCAAAAGATTTAAGGGAATGGGAAGTGAGATTAGGAAGCTGATTTTATGGTAGATGTAGCATTCATCTTCATTCGTTCGAGCCACTTTTTACCAATATTTACAAATTCCTGGTTGCACTATTCTTTTAACCATATTCAACATTTTCGATCATGTGAACTGCCTTCTGGTTTTGATGTTTTGCTTTTGCCTCATTGTTTAGGCCCTAGGATAGGTTCATGTCAAATTAACTTGTGCCAACTGCCTTTCCTTATTGCTGTTCTTGTAATGCCAAAATTTGTGGGTTCTGGCAACTTATCTATGATTTAAATGAAGAATTTACAAGTGGCTTCAATATCTTTGTGGCTCCTACTTAGCAGATTCACAAATTTGTAATGAAGATAGAATTTTAGTGTTAGAGATTTTTTTGTTCTGATTCGACCTTCTGATCTTTGTTCTTCAAGCTGGCAAATAAGGTAAGCATCAGTTGCATTGAAATTTCAGATGTAAATGTTTGTGTAATTTGGTATATAATGCCTGGTGTTTGGGGATTCCAGGCCAGAGAAATGAACTACAGTCAGACTCCTCTCTAATAGTATCATTATATAACAACACTTCACTATAAAAGCCAAGTTATTCCGGAACCAAACTCTGTTCTATTATAATATATGTTTTCTATAACAGCAATTCGCTATAACATCCAAAAATATCCAGAACAAACGTGGCTTATATAAAGAGGTTTGACTGTAGTTCAATTTCTAACATTTATACCTGTCGCGTTTCCAGGAGAATACATGGCATCTTTGGCAACAGCAGAAGTTTGTGATGTAAATGCAGGGCTTCTGTCAAATGGCGACCTGCGAGTTTTGCCACCTATCTTCCAAATATACGGGCAAAGTCGAGCTTTCTCTGGCCCCATTACAACCCTTAAGGTGTTTGAGGACAATGTGTTGGTCAGGGAGCTTCTTGAAACTAGAGGCGAAGGACGAGTTCTGGTTATAGATGGTGGAGGGAGCATGCGATGTGCTCTAGTAGGCGGGAACTTAGGACAATTAGCCCAGAATATGGGTTGGGCAGGTATTGTAGTTAATGGCTGCATTCGCGATGCAGACGAGATTAATGGCTGTGACATTGGCGTTCGTGCATTGGCATCGCACCCTCAGAAATCGAACAAGAAAGGCCATGGTGAAAAACATGTTCCTGTTTATATTGGAGGGATGTTGATTCGTGAAGGAGAGTGGTTATATGCAGATAGTGATGGCATCCTCGTATCGAAAACTGAATTGTCTGTCTAATTCGAAAATCATGCGGTTCTCTGCTCCAGCTCGTGTCTTTAGTTTTATGATCAAAGTCCTATGGCAAGTGAAATCATAGTCTTGTGTTGTGTATTAATACATATTTTGATTCATGTAATCTATTAAGGGCAATGCCAATCATTTTCATAACTATGGGGGTTTCTCCGTTTCTGTACCGAAACCAAGCACCCTCGATGAATGTTTTATTTTATGTGACACTTTTCTTTTAATCTATTGAGAAAAGAATGATACTCCCTCCGTTTCAATTTATGTGAACTCACTTGACTGGGCACGGAATTTAAGAAAAGACATAAGACTTTTGAACTTGTGGTGTAAAATGATAGCACATATATTTTTGTGTGACTATAAATCATTGCATAAAGGTAAAGAAATGGGTCATTCTTTTTGGCACGGACTAAAAAGAAAATAGGTTCACATAAATTAAAACGGAGGGAGTACCTTATATTTGAATAATTTAACTTTACATTCTCTACTGCTCTTAATGACAAAGCTTTTATAGACATGTTTAAAATCATAAGTATTAAAAATCTTCTTTTTTTTAAAAGATTTTTAAATACCGTTTCTAGTCAATCACCTTGAAATAGAATGAGATGGAAGGGGTACATTATACCAAGGCGGGCCTTCTGACAGCTTGTTACGTGATGAACATGTCCATATTGCTTTTGTAATTTCTGGTTGTAGAAGTTGCATTGGAAAAGTTGTAGTTTGGAGCTTTCAACATTCAAAAAGAGAGGATTTTAGATTTGAAAACATTAGCACTGCTAGTTTGAAGAGCCCGGGGGATATGTCCGGTCCAGTTTGTGCATATCTCTGACTAATTACATTGAATACCTGCTACTTCCACTAGCACAGGTATCGGATAATTCTATCCACCAAAGTTTAGACAGGTATCGGGTAATTCTATCCACCAAAGTTTAGACAGATAAAAAGAGATCACGTATTGTTTTTTGTCTCCACCACGATCAAGGGCGGGCAACAATAGTGCATGTTGGATGGTAACTGTGTTCTCCACCAAAAAAAATTCTATTAGGAAAATAGGAACAGAAAAGAGACCATTCTTTTGGTATTTTCCTTTAATTTTCTTGTAAATATTGAAAAAGTAAAAATTTAGAGAGATAATATATTTAGAGAAAAGTGAAACTTGCTTTAAGTGATGAAGAAGACAATGACAAAAAATAGAGAGAAATGTCCACCTTGGCAGTCAGTCAACAAAAGGCAAAATTTTCAATCCCAGCTAAAGGACTGTTGGTAGGAACGGCAGATTTGAGACTTTTCGCGACGGTATGAATAGACCAAAGTACAACGGAGAGTAAACTTTCTCAATCTCGTATAGTACATAAGCAATTTTTAACCTTTCCCCTTAAAATTATCACATGTTCTGCAAAAACGTTTCCAAATATAAATAGCTTCTGTCCCCAAAATCCTGTCATTTTCTATTATATCTATGATTGTATTTGCACCACAAGAATCAAAGAAATGGGCAGGCTAACGCTAAAGGGAGGCAAAATAAAAACAAAGCTACTTAATGATTCCTAAATTTTCATGAATGGGATACCAAAACTCGCAGATGCTGCAACTACAGCGGGAAAGACAGCGCGCAAAAAGGCAATACTGGAGATATATCAACTTTCAGATAAAAGCAGTTCTACCACCCCTCCTACTATGCCGCTCATATGCAGTGTTGAATTTGTCAACCAACTCGTTCATTGTACTGCAACCAGGAAAAAAGAAAAATATTAGATCCATTATATTTGACTCTAGTAAACAGGATTTGAACAACAACAAAAAAAAAAAAAAAAAAAAAAAAAAANTATGGCAAAAGGAACTGTTTCTCCCGCTTGTCGAACTCATTCAAGAATACCATCTTAAGATGTGAAGAACTCATTCAAGAGATGAACTGTTAAATAGCGCAAAATCATCCAAACACGAACGATCACCAATTTTTGTTTTTCTTTGAAAAGCAAATGTTCACCAAATTCTTAAGTTAGGAACATATAATGACTTTAGAAACAGTACAGGTGTACTTCCAGGGCAGAGATAATTAAAAAATAGTCTGAATTTCCATATATGTTTTTAGGGAGCCACTTGTTAAACACTCCTGACAGTCTCACGAATATCTCCACAATAAAGCGGAAACCAAGACTAAGACCTTAACAGATACCACTTACCGGAAAAAAAGGAAAAAAATTAACGAGCGCCATCTTCAGTTAACCACATGTCTATTCTGCAGCCCATATTTCCGGGAAGGTCTCAAGTCAAGAATAAGAATGAAAGTTTCACACCCATAGTGCACCTCAACTTTTTATTTATAACCGTGGTGTCCGGATCAGCTTGCGCACACCTTGATTAATTCCACGAGTACTTGCTACCTCCCGCCAGCACAGGAACCGGGTAACTCTGTCCATCAAGGTTTGGACAGATGGGAAGAAATCACCTAGTGTTTTTAACTTCTTTGGGACTTGAACCTGAGACCTTGTGGTTCTTAACCCACTTCATTAACCACACCCTTGGGTGCTTCACAGTTCACCTCAATTTTATTCTGCAGTCCCACTTGAGATAATCACACTTCAGCAAAACCATTTTTATCTGAATTTTGGCCCTATTATCTACATAATCTTGGATAGTTCTTCATCAATGAAAAGCAAAAAGGAGAAAAATGGAAGAAGAGTTAACGTAAGAAACTACTTTTACAAGCGCAAGAAGCCTGACATCATACCTAGAGCAGTTGGTGAACATGGCCAGGTAACTAACTAACAATGTGTCATTATATTCCTGCACATAAGAAAAGAGAAAATAAAACAATAGAATCAGAAAGTGGCAAAAGCTGATTGGCGCACCTAAAACAAATATGAAAATGTCTACTTAGCAATTTCCACTCAGCATCGGAATTACACTAGTAATTATTTGAAGCTGACGAAGGTCTTATTAGAAAACTCTTTAAAGAATATCCTGCAAATAAAGAAACATCCCTAGGAAAAAAAGAGTACTAATAGGCTACATTTACTTAAAACAGGTCAACTCCAATAACAAGCTCAAAGAACACCTACCATCAAGAAATCATCTCGAAATCTCTCCGACTCAATTGTTGGTAATCTTCTTAAAAGACTGGAGACCTGCCTGAGCAATGAATTCTCACAAGGGATTTCACCTACATTCACAGCAGGAAAAACATTAAAATTCTAGAGCCACTGCCCCGTGAAAAAAACTTATCTTCCATTTCCATGTTAATTGTCGAAGAAGTTTGTGAGATTAACATTCTCCAAAATCAGTTTCACGCTGCTTGACTAGTTCATGAGGCTAAAATGCTGAATGGATAGTTCATGAGGCTATCTAAGCATCATAGATATTCAGATGCAAAATATACGTCTTAGCTTGTAACACTAAAAAATTTATTTCCTGGTGAGCCTCTCCCAGTAAATTCAGAAGCATCTTCTCCACTATAAGGAGCTTCTTCGACCAATCAGAATGTAGTTTCAACTTCTAGCAAAAAATGGATACCTTTTTGCATAGAAAGAAGATAATGTTGTAGCACTCTAATTCTGCTGTTCAGCATCTTGATGGCACTATGTGTGCCGGTAAGGTGCGCAGCCACTGCACAAAGAGAACTCAAAGTTAAACAATAAGCAAATCGTGCCACTAAAAGATTAGGGAGCCGCTAAAAAATCAGTAAACGCTTAGAGTCTTGAGAAGACAAATGAAGTTAAAGGTGCTCACACTGAGTTGCAGCAGAGCCTCCATCAGATGGTTTAAGATGTGCGACATGATCAACAGAAATCCGTTCAGCTTCAACCGTCTAGTAAGAAGTCAGGTATTGCAAGTGAGAAGAATTTGTTAGATGCTCCCAATAACTTGTGGAAAAGATGACAAGATAAATGAATAGGGAGATACCTCTATTGTGTAGCTTGCTTGGACAAAAATAAGCTGTGGGATGCCATCAATGATGTGCAACTCTTCGAATATCAATAAATAGTTCCAAAACCCAAAAAAAATAATAAATCGTAAATTCTCATAGCGTCAATAGCTCTGGAAGGGACTAAAGATGGACACAAGAAGAAGTTCAAATTGGAACTTCTTAATCATGGTCTCTCGCACAGGGCATAACCCCCAAAAACATTAAAGTGTCTGAACAAATATGAGGGCCATGGTGGAAGGCTCTGTATAAAATATGTTATCTTCTACCCAGAAATATAAAACTAATTTGTGCAAACAAAATTTAACTGTTTAGTTTCTCCTTTCTGTTTTCTTCAAAACCAAGCACAAAAGAATAAGTTTAATCATGGAGCACCTGTAACATGACAAATAAAATATATACGCACCACTTTCATAGATAGTGATTGGCAAGTCCTTCTGTGCACGACTGATAGAAGGATTGAGAAGAATGTAGACAGGACTTTCATTGATATCCATCAACTGATACAACAAAATATGCTATCGTCACGGCTCGACAAAAACTATAGGAATAAACAATGTTCTATAGGAAAAGGTAAACGTAAATTATTCATCCAGAGGGCAGGATCAAGTTATACTTGAATCATGGGCCTTGATGCCATTCTCCACAAGTTCTAGAAAAGGAGATGTTACAACACTACAACAGTTTAAATGAATGGGATATCTCACGTCAGGACCTAGTCACCAAGCAAAGTGTGACAGCATTAGCATCGACATTGTAATCCCTTTTCCCTTTCATGACAGCAAGCATAACTACAAGGCAGTTTCCTGCACCGCCCAAAATTTGTATAACCTGGTTTCCTAGGGCTTCTATGTCTCAACAGAATAGGTAGCTAGTATTGCCCAAAGAACAAGTATGCATCAAGAATTCAGAAGATCTCAAGGAAAATACAATGATGAGCATGCAAAATGAATTAGCTTACAACACTCTCTTTTATACAAGAAGCATGCAGCAAACATGTAGCTCATTCCCCAACGCACAGTCAGCATAATATATGCAATATGCTTCAGTCAGTTCCTAATTCAGTTCCTATTGCCCAAACTAAATATATGCTGCGTCAGTGCTTTGATAGAGGACGCTGCCAGCTTATGGATTGAAATTTTCTGCTTTCAACTATTTACTATTTTTCAGTCTTTTCTAGAGTTATGGGTAGGTTTTGCTGCTTTTCCCTCATACCATTATTTATAACTCGCGTCCTCAAGACATTCTTTAAGATCATTAAGAACATCATAAAAATAATTTTTTTTTTCCAAAGGAACATTCAAACACTAAACCTTGCACTTGACAAGTGGCTAGAATACTATTAGCCAAAAGGCACTCCTAGAAAGTGTGATGCTATGGTATCTCATATATATCACTGGATGGCCTATTAAGAGAGCTTTCCAGTGATATGGGTGTTAGCGTGTATTCCTTAATGTGCCATTGATAACTTACCCCAAGAATGACTTGTCAAAGAAAAATATATTCCCTCAGGAATAGATGAACAGTATTAATCCACTACATTTTCCACTTTTTTTAATTCCTTTCTTTTTTACAGGTATTATCCACAGAAGTATCAGGCCGTACCCTCCATGTAGTGTCCAATTTCCCTATCCTATTCTCAATTTCTGCAACTTAACCTGACCTAATACAAACAAAATTAATACCACATACTCATTTCTAAAACAAGTCATTTCTGCTATAGCCTCCTGAAAAGCATCATAGTATTATAGGCATCTTTTACCCTTTTCAGATAAGCATCCTCTCTCACATTCATAGTGTTGTTTCATCAATAATCTAGTGAAAAATAAATGTCTTTTACATCTGGTTAATTAGTTGTAGCCTTACATATGCTCCACTATCTAATATCTAAAGGTTGTTGCGGTTGATGACCTTAGTGCAGATATTTCAATTAAGTAATCCATCCAATAATTGGGAGGTAAACCCAGTCCGTTTTTTCATCAGGAAGATATACAATTGACGGGAGTGAATACATGTGCCCAGATGTATAGACATTAAGGTCTAGATAATGAAGAATCAAATACATAAATAAAAAGATATACTATGCATAGTTAATGCTCAGCCTCACCTCCTAATTACTGAGCAAACACAACAGAACAGAAAAGAAAAGAAAAACATAAAAAGATACTAACTGAATATAAGACAATACTTCCTTGTCCAAATTTCTATGACATAATTTTTATATAACGTTGGTCTGATGTGAATTTAAATGGAGAAACATGGTTAGTGAAGATTAACCGACCCCAACTTGTTTCGTACTGAGGTGTTGGTCACTGTAGTATTCAAAAATTTAAACTTTGGTCTGATGTCTTCTTTTATCAAACTAACTTTTGAACAATTACATTAATATTTTATTTCACTACCACAATGGTAATAAAGGACAGCCCGGTACACTAAGCTCCCGCTTTGAGCGGGGTCCGGGAAGTGCCGGACCACAAGAGTCTATTGTGCGCAACCTTAACCTATATTTCTGCAAGAGACTATTTCCACGGCTCGAACCCGTGACCAGGAGGTCACATGGCAGCATCTTTACCAGTTACCCCAAGGCTCCCTTCACTGCCACAATGGTAATATCTAAGTAATATAAATCCCATATCTAATCACACGTCTTAACATAAAATGGAACTGATGGATAAATAATCACTATTTTAAGCAAAGAGAAAAAACTCACAGCTTTGTGAATGTGCATATCTGATTCCTGAGCATCACTCCCAGTTGAATACCACCCCAGTATATAGAAATTAGGAAACACCTTCTTATCTGCTCCAAAATTGACACCATTAGTATCAATTATATCAACAACATAACCCTTATAGCCTGTTTGGCTAAGCCTTTTGGAAGCCAAAAGTGCTTATTTTTTAAAGAAGTTGCTTAATTCTATAGAGACTTGAGGTGTTTGGCCAAGCTTTTAGGAAAAAACAAGTGCTTTTAAGTAGTGGCAGTCTGCAGAGCTGAATAAAAAGCAACTTTGGTGTTCAAAAACTGGCAAAAGTGGTTTTCAAATTGATTAGCGAAACTGAATTTTTTCTGCAAAAAAATCGTCTGTTTCAATGTATGAAAACAAAAATTCAAATTTTTGCAAGCTGTTGTGCAACTTGAAATTTTCAGTTTGACTATTTTCCAACATGAAATATACACTGTTGGATCTGTTTTCCACCTATCAATTACCGTGCGAGGTCAAAAAAACACAAATTTAAAATAGTTATGAAAATGTAGTAAATTCATTGTTTGGAGAAAGAAAAAACTGACAGAGTTCTTGCTTCTTTTCGAGGAAAGGCCGGTCGAGGGAGTGAGTCGAGGGATCATAAAGGAGTTCGAAGCTGTTGAATATCTCGACAGTGCGGCCTCTCTGTACGCCGATAACGCAACCTAATACCCTAGGCGGTGGTGGCGGAGAGGAATCGGCACCGTCGTTGGCGGAGGAGTGAGACTGAGATTTGACCCGAGTGTAGTGATCCGATATGTTTAGTATAACGAGCGGGTGGAGCTTGAACGTTAAGACGCTGCTCGACGATGACGCCATTGCTAAGCACTACTCTTCTCTTCTCTTCTCTTCGTAGAGTTCTAATTTCAGTTTCCAGTGTAGACTCCACCCGTTTTATGTTTCCCAAACGCCATTATATTAAACTAGTATTAGACATTGTCAAATTATAATTTAGATTATTTAGCTTACGTGCAAATAACCTTAGTATTTAAACTTTCGCATAAAATTTATAGATAATTATTAGATTATTAATTAAAAAGAGAACATAAAATCATATCTCAAATCTAGTACATGTTTTCTTTTTCTTTTTAAATCTGTAACAACATAATCCCTTCATTTTATACTTCCATTTCGTTATGCGGTCAATATTAAAGAATACTAATGGCCCGTTTGACCATAAAAAAAATTTACTTTTTTTGAAAAAAATTTACTTTTTTTTCCCGGAAATACTGCTTGGCCATGAAAATTTCAAAATTCACTTGAAAATGAATTTCAAAAATTTTAAAAACTCCAAAAAACTATTTTTCAAAACTTTCACTTCAAATCACTCATAAAAATTCAAAAACAATTTCAAATTGTATTCATTCAAAACTTTCACTTCAAATCACTCGTAAAAATTCAAAAACAGTTTTAAATTGTATTCATATCCAAACACAACTCTAATTTTCAAATACTACTTTCACTTGAAAAAAAAATCACTTTTTTCCGAAATTTCACAATTCTTATGTCCAAACGCCCCCTAAACATGTAACGTTGAGATCTATCTTGTTCGAGCATATTAAATATTATTATTTTAATAAAATTCTTACTACCACTTTATTTTATATCTCATATTCAAATATGTCTTATCCTTCTACTTTTTTCTCTTTTTGTTCTTTGCTTATAGTTATTGTATTACCCATTACTTAATATTATTATATTGTCATGTGATTTTTTATTAGTTCACCAACTAACTTAATGTCTTGGTTATTATATTTTTAATAATCATCGATAAATATAAAAAAAAATCTTAAAATTTAATGTATTTTTACACTTTATCCTCTTATTCGAAACTCTTCTATCATTTAAATATATCAATAATACTATATTATTTAATTATTTTATTTATTTATTTAAATTAATTCATAGTATAAATATCCTCACACTATCACTATTTTTCTCTTTATATATTCTCTTCCCTACTAACAAAATTTAATTAGTTTATTACAGTAATATTTTACCTATGATCAAAATATTAATACATTAGTTCTTTAATTGTTATGTTCCAAATCTATTGAGTTTTCTTATAGTATTTGCTTTTGTACTACGTGCAATTAAACTCTCTTTCTCTATTAGTTTCAAGATACAAATTGAATTTTTAATTTTTGTTAGTAAAATTACCTACATGGGACATTTATTTTATATTTTTAAATTTTAGTTTGTTATCAAAATTATATATTTTTTCTATCTAGTAAGACTTTCGTGGTCCTATCTATAGTATATGCGCATAAGTATTAATTATTAATTTATCCTAAAATTGTCAAATGACTTTTCATTAGCTTGCCACTTGATTTCACCACATAACAAATTATCCTCTTATTTTATGTATATAGATATAGATATGAACATGGTTATGGATATAGATATATAAATATAATTTATTAATTAAAAAAATTGTTGCAATTTATTAACTTTGTCCTAATTTTGCTATGTGGCATACTCTTAATATGTCACTTGGCTTAACCACATTACAAATTACCCTCCTTTTAATAATATAAAAATTTTAGAATATAAATATAAATTAATAATGACGCTACATATATATCATATAAGTCAAAATAAATATTTTGTTATTAAATAAGCACCTAAATTAAAAGGATAATATCACACAAACTAAGCTCTAAGTTGGAAATATATCATGAAGGAAAATCAGTCCAAATTCACTTATTTCGTTTGTCACTTAGTCCGAAATTAATGAGAGAATATTTCTTAAATAAAATTTTTATTATATAAACACTTCTTGAACAATTTAGATTAGATTTTGTCCTAATCTTGTTAATTTATATGAGATTTTGTCTTAAAATTTATTTAAAACTTGTCTTAAAAGTGCCGAGTCGCATTTCTCAATATGCCACTTGGCTTAACCTCATACTTCACTTACATATATATTGTTAATTCAAAAAAAAATCATTGCAACTTTTATTAGCTTTGTCCTAATTTTGCTTACGTTTAATATGTCACTTTAATTAATCACATTGTAAATTATCATTCTCTTAATAATATAAAATTTTAGAATTGTTATGAAACAATAAAAGGAGAAGAAGAATATTGCAGAGAAAAGTAGAGAGAGGGGATTCTTATTGATTTGGGACCAATTATAATGGAATAGAACTCCTTTATTTATAGGAAAAAAGTGACTTAGCCACAAAGTAACAAACCCTAAAATTTCTCTAAAATATAGACATTCACCTTAAATACATTCTATTTATAACACTCCCCCTTGAATGTCTATCCAACAGATAATGTGCCTCGTTAAAATCTTAACTAAAATAAAACTTAGTGGAAAAAAAATCAGAGAAGGAAAAAGAGTACACATGTTTAGAAATACGCCTTTTGGTTGACTCGTTAAAAACCTCACAAGGAAAACCCAGTGTGACAAAACCTTATAAGGGAAAAGGAGTACAACGCGTATTAACTCCCAGTGATGAGAACATCAATTCACTTCTTTGAGCCTTCGCATTCCAATCTTGTGCATCATCTTCAAAATATCATTGGTGGATATTTGATAAACAAACCATCCATATTAACTTGAATGAATATGTTGCACTTTGAAATCATCATTCTTGATAAATATGTAATGTCTTCATATAATATCGTGGAATGTCCCTTTTAATATCTCCATATAGATTAAAAAAATCTCGCTATCACATTTTCATGCTTATAGTTATAGCAAGATACATATGTGCACACATTTCACTTTATGATGAGGTACTTCAGGACCAAGAATTGTATATGATTTAAGTGATTTAAATCATTTAGGGATTGTTATATAAGCTAAGTCATATAAGCCATACGAATCGACGTTAGATACATATTAAGTTTTCATGTCATGCGAGACATATAAGATAGATAAAAGTGATTGCACACACCATTGACTTTATACTTTCAAGTGTTTGAACTACATATCTTTCGTATGAAACTAATTCTACTTGAATTATTTCTCCAGACTTAAGATCCTCATATATATATTTAACGTTATCATAGATGTAGTCGACGGACAATTTATATCGATTTCAATATTTTTTCCATAAAAATCTCTTCATTCATATTTCCAGGTACTTGAATCTCTCCTGAGATTTTATGAAGTGTTATGTCATGTGATCTTCTAGATCACTTGCCTCCTTATTATGATCATTTGCTCATCTTCCTTATCAAGAAGTTTATTTGAAACTGATTTGTTTATACGCTTTAGGCGTACCATAGATTTTGTCCTTCTAGGACTTATTCTAATAGGAGAATTTCAGTGAGAATATTGTTACTTGCTTTGGGTCAGCAAATGTATCTGGCATGCTTTGTAATATATTGCAGATGAATTATCTTTTTATGAATTTCAAGTTCATATTATCTTATTCGAGGATCTACATATACAAAAGGATAATTCATTCCACGCAACTTTTTTCCCAACTGTTTATCCTGTCTCCCCCTCATGTTAGAAAAAGTAACTTGCTTCCTTAACTTTGAAAATCCACCTTTGTGTGTTATGGTGTTAATCAAAACATACACCAGACATCAATAATAATAAGATGAAATTATTTGGTTCATGACCCTGAACCACTTGTGAAGGGAGAATGTAATATACTTTTGTACATAACCTAATAAACTGATATATATATATATA